AACAGTTTTCTTCACACCAAGCTTAAAAATTATACATCATTAAGCGAAGCAATGCTGTTGGTTATCAACAAGCCAAATGGTTCGGAGTAATACCCCTATGAATTAGGGTTGCGAATTTCCAACCGCGAACGTAAAAAAACCTATAACAAAACGTTTCTTAGCTTTGGAATACACGAAAACTTAAAATAGGAACTATAGGTATTTAATATTGCCAGCGCCTCACATTTTGCGGACACTGCACAAACTGTGACCACCGCATGGGCAAAAAGGCTTGTAGAGTCTTTTAAGACTCTACAAGGACTTGAGAGTCCTATCCAAACTCTACTACTGTTTTTCGGTTTATTCACCCTTGGCAGCCAACCTACCAGAACACCTTCGAAAGGTCCAAATCAACCGAAACAAGTTTTGTCCACAGAATATTGAGCAAGTACTCGCCTCAGGCTCAGTAAATATCATGATGAATGATTTCCGAGACGACGTCATGGGGATTATTCAACAATATTCACTCAGCCTGAGGCGAATAATTGCTCAGTTGCTTTCGAATTCTGCGGCAAATTCGTTTTAATGTTAAAACCATCCTGTTACAATTGTCTTCGCTATTCGTATCAAGATAAGCAGCCAGTTTACGCTAGAATTTAGTAGGCTCATTTGATTCAATTAGTAAAAAGTTCCCGTATTTCTTTTGAAAAGTGTTACACCAAACTTAGTAGCATCTTTTGTGGTCTTTAGAGTTATATTTTCTTTCATTGCATGCATCATTTTCCGCAGAGCACTGATAAAACAGGAGGCAGCCATTGAAAAATTTAGCATCCCTACTTTAATCACCTCACGCGAGTGATTCTAGCGAGATATGACGCAATACTCGATCAGTCAGAGCGCGTGCATCTCTATAATCACCTGAGCAATTATACAAGACTCATATAAAAAGCATGACTGACTTTTTTGATTAAAGATGGCCTCCAATAAGTGAGAAGAGAGACTTTTCTCGACTCAAATTAACCTTTAATCGCTGCACGACCCTTCTTTGCCATTCTGTTTGTCGTTACTCAATGTCAGTGTTATCGGATAATTGTATTATCCCTGTGGAAAAGGGAACTTTTTACGACGCCACCGACAATTTATTTACTAATTTGTTTGGTAACATGAAATCCAGTGGTGATTATTGAAATTTTAGTAGTAAATAGGTAACCTCGTAGGCTGTTTTTTTCATCATTGATGTTAGCTATGCTAATATTATTATTATTACTATTATCATCATCGGTTGGAATCAACCCCTTTTTTTAAATACAACTCTCGTTTCAAGGGGTATAAATCCTTACAGTAAATACACTAGGAATCACCAAGAAACGTATTGACTGTCCCGAGAAGTCAATGATGCATTTGCGATGTCGATTAATCGAAAAAAGATTAACCAGGGTATGCAGGGTAGGATATAAAGTTAGTATATATCAGCTGACTTTCCATTTCATCATTTATCTCAGGGGGGACACTAGACGTGACAGTGCACGAAATACAAGATGATGGTAACATTAAAGAGATCCACAAGGTCACAGGGGGGCCTTATGGTGGAATGTACGTCAACCAGCAGTTTGAAACTCTCCTGGAAGAGTTGTTTGGTGTACAAAGAATTCAAAAGTTCAAAGAGCAGCATCCATCTGATTGGCTGTCGTTAATGAACGAGTTTGAAGGAAAAAAACGTGGGAAGCGCATTTTAGACGACAGTTTGATGACAAACATCCGCCTACCAAGGAGCTTTGTATCCATGTTAAATGAAACTCAAAGTTCAGTGATGGACAGCTATGGAACTAAGGACGTAAGACTGAAAAATAAAGAGTACCTTTGCCTAAGTTCAGGAATGATGAAGAAATTGTTTAACCCTGTCGTGGAGAGAATTAAACAACATTTAAAAACTTTGATGAAAAAACCGCAACTATCAAAGGTGCAAACCATGCTCCTTGTTGGCGGCTTTACCGATTCTGCTTTCTTACAACAAGAATTAAAAACGGAGTTCGCAAGAAGGCTTAGGATACTTATTCCTCATTATACAACTATAGCAGCTGTTCAAGGAGCTGTAATCTTTGTAATCCTACGAAAATATCCGAAAGAGTCGTCTCCACAACTTTTGGCGCCGATCGTTCGGTAGATTTTATCGAAGGGATTCATCCTGAAGAAAAGAAATTTATTGCAGATGGAATTGAAAAGTGCGGTCAAGTTTTTAACTGCTTTGTAAAGGAAAACAGCGTAATAAAGCTCGGACAGCGAATTACAAAATCATATCACCCTGTGCGAGCTAATGCGACAAGCCTGAAATTTGGATTCTACGTCACAAGCAATCCCAAAGCACAGTTTGTTACTCACTCCGAGGTAACAAAGATTGGAAGTGTCAAAGTTCAGTCCCCAGATACATGGAGAGGTAAAGATAGAAAAATAGAAGTCAGTATGTATTTCGGAGGAACTGAAATAACCGCCACTGCCTCTGATATTTCAAGTGGAAACAGCGCCCAAACCACATTGGACTTTTTCTGTCGATCATGAACGTGTTTTTTTTCTGTTGTAAAAAAGACAGAGATTCAGAATCGATCTAATACAATAATCAGACCATGATCATAACCTTAACCTTATTTTTAAAAAACGAATTCCATAGACGTGCACTCCCTGAGTAATCACTCACGAAGTCTAGTCTGACAAGCAATGTGATTTACCTTGTGAGACTTTTCAAGAATTGTCTGACTCCTAAAAGCAGTCAATCGCTTCAATAGTTCATCATAGTAAGCATCAATAACAATAAAACAATCCCAATGCTAGTGATTGTAGAGTCTTCCTTTATTTGAAGGTAAATGTCATATGATGTGCAAGAGGGAAAGAAGACAAGTGCCTAGTCAGCATAAGTGCAATGTTCAAAAAAGTTGTTTAGACATATTTTAATTGATAACTCTCTAAGCGCCCGTGATTTGCATACCAAACCAGTCATAATTACTCAGTGATCTGTAGCTATTATACCAATATTTTTTGTTGTGAAAGCGCGCGTTATTTTTTATAAAAATCTTAAATGAATTTTTTTTTTGTTATGATAAGCTACCAACAATTAACAAAACTTAGTGTTACTCACAATATCAGAATTTATATTTCTTACAAAATTAGAAGATATATTGTAGTTTAAATTTGAACTCAATAACCCAATATTCAATCATTTACTCAAGAAAAATTGCGAGGAAAGCTTTTTCCTTTAAGATAGATGTTGAATTATGGATAGTTAACCAAAGACAATCTTTATTATATCTTTAGTTTGACCATCCAAACCCTAAAAGAAGCTTTAACTACTAAATATCATATGATATAAGCAATTTAGTTTCTGAGCAAATGCTCTCATTTAACATCAGTAGGGAAAAATGTCCATGTGAAGACATTTTAATGTTTTGACTTGTAGACGAAATAAAATAGTGCGTGCAAATACATTAAACAAATAGAATACCCATTGTATTGCCTGCATTCTATTTAAAAAGAATTGCTGGCTGCATCGCCACGCAGTTCTCAAACTAAAGTTGTATTAATAGTAGTACATTTATCCCCAGTACTGCCACCAGGTTTCAAATCGATACTACTTGCATCTGTAATCATTTATTTTTCAGACTTCCTTCTTTCTATAGTAACGTCACAGGTAACACTTGAAATAAGAGGTCGTTTTATGTGAGAAAACCCACTTATTTCGATCATGAATCGACCTAATTCATGCCCCTCATTTACATTTAGAGCATGGCAAAACTAAAAACATATTTAACAGGATTTTCAACATTAAAGCAGTTTCTAAAATGCACATAGGTTTTTGCTTTAGTTGATGGACGTAAAAATTAAAGAGAAGCTTACTCAGTATTCACTTTTATCTTACACAAGACTTCTCCTTTGTGAATACATCTTCCTTCCCCATCAAACAGTCCCGGCCAAAGATAACACGCTATCTCCTCTTCCTGATGTTGGTCAGGGGTTCCTTTCACCAACGTACGTACCTCAGGACTCGTATGATAACCTATCTTTTTATGGCACTGTTGTAGGTACAAGGATTAATACTGTAACTTCAGTGGTGGTGTCTGGGTAACCATTCTCCAAGTCAGCCGGATACTTGCTTTTATGTACTCCTGGAATAATGGTTTATGAAGGTGACTCACTGCGTGTGAAAGTCGGCTGTTTCTCACCAATTTCTCCTTTTCTCGCCACCTGTTCCACTTCTCCTTGACGACTTTAAAATTTTCTGTGCTCATTATTTAAAAAGTTAGGAGTATATACGTTCGCTAGTTATCTTTAAACTCAAATTGCAAAATAATCTCTCATGAAAGAAACGATGCATATAATCAAAAATTGAGAAAGTCGCAAACGTCGACAACAGTAAAAGCGATGTATATGTAAACATGTGCACTTTTGATTGGCTGAAAACGAATGCATTTTTCATTTCATACGAGTGCAAAGTTGTAACACGAATGAAAATTACAAATAGTGTGCACTGTCAAAATTTCCTCTGCTTAACTTTCTAAGATGCTTTTTCCATGCAAATTATTAACAAAAAATGCACTCAATATCATGTTGTAACCGATACTAAAATCGCGAACAATTTTTTTTTCAGACCTGACATCGAAAGTCATCCTTCTTTCCCTTTTTCCGTGAAGAATGATGCACAAAAAAAATGGAGAGCGGAAAGGGCTGGAAAAGTACGATGTGTTGGCTTGGTTTGAAAATAAAATTGCGACTGTAAACTCGTCTGGAACCTAAGTTCTGTTTTTTAATTGGAAGATGTTCGAAAAAGAAAAACGATTCTAAGTTTCTAAGTAATATTCAAATTATTGTGAAGTCAATATAGTGATTAACTCTAAGTTACTGAGTTTTGTTTTTTATTCATTTATTTCCTGTATGCGTTTTGATCCAAAAAACTGAACCACAACTCAGTTTCTTCATGACGCCTTTGAAAAATTATCATCAGAAAAAAAAATCATTAGATACGATTGTGACTGATGTTCTCATATGAAATCAAGTAGCAGCATAACAATTAGCACAACTCCTTAGAAATCTGAATAAAGATTAAGTCACCGTCAACAGAAAAGGGTGCCCTCCGGAAAAAGCCTTAGCCTTACCACGAACATCCCAACAAACGGGATTGTATCACACAGCAGATAAAAGGGTAAAAACGGTGTGAGGCTTTTTCGATATTCCTATTCGTTCCCGAGAAAATATATTTTAAGAGGCCGTGACTGTAAATATCGAGAATCGTTGGCCAGGCTAAAAAAAACCAAAATTCTGATAATTTGCCTAGAAAACCCTTTTAGGGAGATATATTCAAAAAAATTATTTTAAAGTTTGAAAAATCAAATCTGTCCGAGGAAATGGGGAAAAACGAAAATTCGGGTTTTTCCTTATTAATTATGCAAAAAAATACTTTGACCAACTTTAGTGTGCGAGTACTGAAGGAGGATGTTTGGTAAGAAATCGGGGGTGTTTTTACTTCAAAGTATAATTCGACGCCAACTAAGGAAAGGCAACATGGAACTCCCTTGTCGAGTGCCTTGAGAAAGAAGCTATTGAAATTCGTGGGAAAGGTCATCTCTCGCGACCTCAACGGAGAAAACGAATGGAAAGAAAAGCAAGAAAAGCAATCAAGAAAAGCAGTTTGTAAGATCAGACTTTTTTGCTTCTTTTGTGCGGTGCAATGCGAGATGTAAACGAAATATGCAAATCGAGATCCACCACACTATTCATCCCCACCCCGAAGATTTACTGCTTAACCATAAAACCTTCAAAAATTATATGAACAAGTGATGTTTACAACCAAGATACGCACTGAGAGGCTGAGTCAAATCAATTACGAACTACTATAGAATCATGGGGTTCTATGTTTCCTTGTTCCCAACAAAATTTACCTTGTGTTCCAGTGTTCCCTGAAAGTATTTCGTTGATTTTGGTTTTCCCTGCTCCCCAAATAACGCTTTTGTTCCCGTGTTCCCAGTTTTATTTTCCCTTTGTTCCTATGTTACCAAAAAGTTAAATGGCCATGTTCCGTTGTTCCCTAAAACCCCTGAGAGGGGCTTACCCTCGGGCTGTAAAAACACGAGTATTCGAACGCTGTCAACAGGGTCTTTTTCTTTGACACCAGTTTGGAAAAGGAAGTTATAGGACACTTTTTGAAACTATTCATACTGTTCTGTATTCTAATTTAAGCTTATAATTTCTGTGCTTGTGGCAAAAATATTCCTGGGTACGGACATGTTTCAAAGATAATATCACTAATTAAGTTGACCACAATCTGCGACGAAAGTTAAAAATTGAAAGAGTTGTGACCATTGATTTTTATTGATATCAATTTAATTGCTTTTTGATAATCAGTGCATACCTGTGAGTTAAAAGAAAATTATAGCATGCCAAGTTACTTTTATCCCAGACACTAATGGTTTATGATTTGGTGTACTTAATGGACCTTTATCTTTTTATCTAGGAGAATGGAGGAGGAACAATATGATACCAGCAATGGCTTTGGTTGGCCAGTCTCCTTAAAAACTTACAAACTTGGTGACAATATCTTATTCAACATTCAAGCTGTTATCAACTACCTGGGGCTTGAAAATCAGGTAAAAAATCATGGCTTTAAATTTATTAACAAGTTCTTTGTTGAAAATGGTGAGTAAATATGCATTAAATAAACTGAGTTATAAATATGGAAAATGATATTTTTGAAACAGTGTTGGGCTGAAAAGTTTTTAAAGTTAAACTCATTTGTTTCCAAATTTTAGCTATAACCTCTGGCATACATACGCGTATTTGTTTGAAACTTATGAAGCTGAAATTTATTTGGCCAGTTATTTTGACCAGTAAGTATATCTCCATAATTTTCAGCCCTGTGTAATGTAAAAATAAATTTTGTCATTGTTTTCCATGCCTCGTTTGTGATGCTAGTCATCAGATACCCTGGAGCGGAAGAGAAGACCAAGGAACTAGGAAAATTCCTTTTACGGCTGATCTTACGTCCACCTTCGGCTTCTCCTAATGTTAACCTTCCTCAAACGCCAACCCCAGACACAGATAGTTACCCATCACATACTCCACTTTCATGTCCTGATTCTCAACCGCTGCCAACTTCTGCAGGATCTCCCACAACACCTGTGACTCCATCAAGTCGGTTTCAATCAGCAAAGCAGTTGGTGGATGATCCAATGAAAGGGGACCCTAAGAGCTGGCAAGATACTAGCGTATCAATTAAATGAAAAAGAATCCTAAAAAATTCACGAAATACTTATGTAAAAATCGAATGAAGGAGAGTTCTAAAAGTGCTGAGATACATAAGATACGTAACAATCCAATTAGCTGTCAGCCGTCAAAATAAGAAAAAATAACTGTCAACTATCAAAACTACCCTCTCTCAATGAGACCCTCTTGCAAATGAAGATGGCATCCATAGTATCGCAACATGCTTTGCTTTTGTTTTAAGCAGATTGTAATTCCTTTCGTTTTCAATCTATTTTATTTTTGTGTCTTATTAACATTTTACCAAAGATACACCTCTCTGAACATTTGCTTCGCTATCAATTCAAGTCTGCTCCAAAAAGCTTAAAAAATATCAGGACTTCAGATGCAAATAAGATCAATTTACTGTGGTAATAATAATAAGGTAGCTACCTACTTGATATTTCTATTAGAATAGGACAAAAATGCTGACCTCAGCAGTCTCGTGACATTCCTTATCATCATCTTGTCAAATATTTTACATCTGCTTATTTTGCTGTGAAGTCTCCTTCAATTTTTAGTCGCATTCGCTTGTCTATTGGAGCTAAAGGGTCAATTTAGATCTCAGCTTCGTTTGTATGTATGTATTTATGTATGTATGTATGTATGCATGTATGTATGCATATATGCATGTATGTATTTATGTATGTATGTATGTATGTATATATATATATATATATATATATATATACATACATATACATGCATGTATGTATACGGAAGTATGTACATGCTAGAAAACCTACAATGTGATTTGCAGTCCTAAGAGTTTTAATAATCACAATAAAAATATTAAACGGGTAACGCTGTCGCTGCTAAACACCATTGAGCTGTGCTCGCTTTTCATGGCCTCAGGTGCGGCAGTCATCTCTCTGACAGTTTGGCCCAGGGTCACTAAACTGTAAAGGATACTAACATATCTAAAATTTTTATATTATGATTAAAAAAATAGGGTAAATTAACATATTGAACACTATAATCATGGTAATGATAATGATGGTAATACTGATATAGTATTCGTCCATTATTGTTACTATCATCTACATCAATGGCAATAAGTAAGGTTAGAAACTCGAGCCAAGAGGCCCACGCTACCGGAACTTATTGCTGTTTCCGTTGACTGAACCTATCAGTACCTACTCCTTAGTTGGTCGCAAGGCAATCGAAGAGTAGTTACTACAAGTAAATGATCGCGACATAATATAATTTTTATTACGTCAGGGATGAAGTTTACAATGCCATTCATTTAGTGCAACATGATCTCGGTCCACATCCTGTGAAAAAACAGTTGGCTTATCTTACTGAGAAGAAAATGTGGACTGGAAAAACCAAGTAACCAACAGTTTCAAAACTTTGGCTTTTCTAAGCCTTAATCATTTCTGCTATGTCCATCGCGGCTTCCCTTTGTTAATTCCAATTTGTAAGGATCTTTAGCAATAAAACCACTTGCTCCCATGAATTGGGGAGGAGTGTCAATCGAATTAGCCTATATGGAAGTCACCAATTACAAACCCCACTGAGGTTTATAGTAACGTTCAGTTCAGAACTGAGTCGTGATATTTTCATGTAGTTATTGTTGCGTTACAGGATCGAAATTGACCTTTTCGAATTAATTTCGAACATGGCCTAATCTCTTATTTCGAATTATCGGTGGGGAAAATACATCAGATAAAAGGTTAACGTTTTCCTACCGTTTATCGTATCGAATTCGCCCGAGAAATCGTCCGTAACGGATGATGTACACCAAAATGTATTCAGTTCTTTCCGGAGACAGCAGAGCAATTAAATCATCAATGCCAGACTGAATCATGTTTTAAGAGCACTGACAATACACTGACTATAAATATCGAGATTCCATTAACTAACTTAACTAACCGCAAACGACTCTTGTCCGGATTACGTTATATCGTTTCGTCAAATCTAGTAATTACTGAAATGATCTTTAGGTAATGTATTGCGTTGTCGTATACACTCTTTTCAATTTTTCGCAGAAAGCAAAGTACAGTAGAACTTTTTGATATAATTTTTAAAAAGGTTCATTAAAAGGATCCTTCAAGAAAATTGAATTGAAGAAAGAAGAGTATCTTCAGTTTCTCCCTAAACACATATGCCTGACCCTACCCCCGTCAGTGTACCAGTGACATATGTATCAAAGCCCGACTTACCTTTGAGTATTCGCGTTTATTTCTGCTTGAAAACATTCCAATCGCTTTTCCATGTCTGATCGTGCTATGTCTGATTCACCTCTCCTGCTTAACAAGAAAAAATCTGATGATGAAGTTGTCTCATCAACACCAAACCTTATGTATTTAACTATGTGACATTTGAACTTTAAGATGTGTGAACATTTGAGGCAAGATATGCGCACGGTATATTCTAATGTTCGATTCATTCGTCAATGTGGTCTTACGAATCTGTGTTCGGTCGTTTCGGGCTGATTTGTAGCATTTGTTTCCTTCTCAAGCCACTGTTCAATCCTTTCCGGCAAATTGGAGAACACATCGCGATTAACTTTCAAAATAGCGATGAACGACCTCCTTGAACGAGCTCGAGCGTCGTCGATCGTTGCTTGTGATTCGGTAGTGGCGGAATGTATATCTGTCATCGCCACAATACAGTGAATAAGGAGCAACGATTTGAAATATCGAGTTCTTGTTCAGAGGTTTGATAACCCAAATCAGTAGGTCATTTCCGAATTCTTACGGCTGAGAGATCCGATGCTGAAATGCCATGACTCTTAATTTGCACTTTGCCTCGTTCTCGTGTCTCAGTGAGAACTTGAAAATGACACAAACCGCTGGGATGTTACAAGATTTCTGAGAAAAACCGGAAGTGTCATGTTATTTATTTATTTATTTATATTGACTTTGCAATTTTGAGAAATGAGTTTTAAGCAGAGCATAACATACAACACGTCGAAAGCTTAAAACAGACGAAAAACTAATCGAAGATACGCTAAAGCCATAATTCATATACTACAGTCCCTCTCACAGTTTTGATTTCAACGGCGTCTGATGTCTCTAATCAAAGAAATCGACATCTTTGAGGCCATTATAATTATGACGTTATCTTTCCAAGAAAGAGACAAAATCCCCTGTAAGACATCATAATGACCTAGTTTCCTAGAAGGCGATTAATTCACCGCTGAGTGGTTTCGACTACAAATCTTCATGTTCGATGAACAAGAGCTGTCTTCAAGATGCAGAGAACCTCGGAAGGTGAGTTGGCGATGACTAACCAATCTTATTACGACCGACCACTACATGAGCTCATAAAATCGAAAACAGAATCGAAAGTCGTTCAAACAAACATTCCTAGTATTAAGTGGACCATAACATATTTTTTGAAGGCGAAAATAAGACCACAGTGATTCGTCTCGTTTATGATTAAACACAACAGTGAACTTTAACTCGTGATTTTCTTCAAACTTGGCATCCTCTAAAACTATGATATCAAGAAGTCGACGACTCTTCGGCTTTCTCGGATTTCTTCTGCAAATTTCAGCTTGGCGATGATGACATATTTCAAGCGTTTGAAGCTTTCTACGATTCGGATAACTTCAAATCAACTGCTGAATAAAACATTGCTTTTCAACTAACTGCCAATACATGTACTGAAACCACGTTTCATTACTTTGCATTCCTTTCAGTCAAAGTTTTATGTCATCACCTGCCTCTCTCATCTATTTGACATTTCTTTCTGAAGCATGTGCTTATTTAATTATTTAGTTGTTGACTATAATTATCGTTCAACAGATGATCAAGAGGGAGGTGAACTTTTCCTTTCCTCTCCTGTTACATTCATCGCTGTGGTAGCAATTGACTTTGGCACAACGTTTAGTGGGTTTGCATTTGCGTTCAATAACAAAGAAGGTGAAAAAAGTATCCACATGAATAAAGAATGGGGAAGTGACCAAGGCTACTCCACTATGAAGACACCTACATGTTTGTTGCTCAATCCAGATCAGAGTTTCAATTCGTTTGGCTATGAGGCCAAAGATAAATTTGCTGATTTGGAGGAAGAGGAAGCTCGACAATATTTTTACTTTGATTGCTTTAAAATGATTCTTCATAACAATGAGGTGAGAGAAAAATTCCCTTTTTTTTTTTTTTCAAACTTCCTTATTTAGGAGAAATATTGGTAAAACTTTGAAGGATTTTATGTCAATAAACATAAGTCGATTCTGGTATGGAAGAAAGAAGCTGTGTTATTCTGAAAAATGTTGGCAATTTGTTTATTAACTTTGAAGGAGATCAGGGTAAAGCTAAGCTATTATATCAAAGCTTAGGTCAATTTAAAGGTTATTTGGTTTTCCTCAAAATTTGGAACTTTTCAAGTTTTGTACTTTTTTCAGAAATGTTAATAAACAGATACTTCTAATATTGTTTAGGTGATTAATTCCGAACTGAATGAGAGCGCAGAAACTTACTGCAAACATAAAACTAATAAACTTTTGAAACAAACGTGGTTTTTGTCCTTACAGAGCTTGAATATGAACACCACTGTAGAGGCAGCGAATGGCAAGCACATGAGGGCCTTGGATGTTTTTAAATATTCCATAAAATATCTTTACACACGGGCACTAGAGGTGATTAAGGAGAGAACTGGTGACGAAGACTTCGGAGGAAATGATGTGCAATGGGTCTTGACCGTCCCAGCAATATGGAAACCAGCGGCAAAACAATTCATGAGAGAGGCTGCTTATCAAGTGAGCTGTCATGATATACACATTTCAAACATCAGCAAATTCGTGTAATGATCAGTATTATTGACTAACTTTCAAATTGCCAACGCAAAGAAGGGTAAAGCTGTTGCTTTGAAGAATGCAAATTCTTGCACCATACGAGAAGAAAATGGTGAAACATTACTGAACCAGTATGCTTGGTTAGGGCTCGCTCTACGAAATCGCAAAAGTGCAACAAGGAAAAAGTGGGCGAAAATACTTCTTTCCTACATCCATTTTCTGCAATAAGTCTTTGTAACATCATCTTCATTGACTATACCGACATCCAGTGCTTGTACTTTTATCTTAGGCAGGGCTGGCACATCCCTCCAACCCAGAGCAGATACTGATCGCTTTGGAGCCAGAGGCGGCCTCCGTCTACTGTAGAGAGCAAAAGGTGAGAGAGTTTGTTGCTGAGAGTGGTAGCAACGATGCCTCAGTTGAGGACACCATCGCCCGACCAGAAACACAGTACGTGGTAATTGACATTGGAGGTAAATTCAATTTTTCTAATAGCAAATTGTTCCACTGGAAACTCTTGACTTGAACAAAGACATCTGGACCTTGTGCGGTTAAATGCTTTATTTTATTTATGTTAGTTTTTTTACTTTTTTCCATTTACCGTGATGATCAGCAGAGTAAACAGAAAGTATAAATCTCGAGACAGAAATAGTCAGCACATTTAAAGCTAGACACCTCATTTTTTAAGTAATTAATTTTCTATCATTTTCATGAAATGTTTTCTGTTATAACAAATGTGCAGCGCAGTTATATAAGGGTCGGATAATGCTATTAAACGGATAAATTGCTATCCAGTGGATAAGTGATAGCAAAACGTATCGCGTTATCCACTGTATAGAGTTTTATCCAGTGGATGGCGTTATCCAACTTTCGAACAAACGGGGCCAGAACGTTATTCTAAAATATCTTGACTCTTGTATTCATGTAGGCGGAACTCTTGATGTGACTGTTCATGAACTTATGGAAAACGGTGCAATCCGAGAGCTTTATAAAGCCACAGGAGGTACGTTTGGAGGACAGAATGTCAACAGACAGTTCAGGATCCTTCTTGAACAAATTTTCACCAAATCCTTCCTTGATAATTATGCCTGTCACAATCCGGTGGATTGGCTCTGTCTCATGAATGATTTCGAAGTAAAGAAACGCGGAAAACGTATCTATCTGGGGGGGGACAACACGAATCCGGTTGCCTGGTAGTTTCTTGAGTAAATTTCTCAGCCAGAGAGGTTGCGATATTAACACAGCCATTCAGCAGCATTACAACCTGGATGAAATAAAAGTCCTTCGTAACGAGTACCTCTGCGTTGAACCAAAAGTCATGAGGCAGCTGTTCAATCCAGTCTTGGATGACATCATTTCCCACCTCTCCAACCTTCTCGCCAAACCAGAATTGTCTGAGGTCAAGTTTGCATTCCTCGTAGGCGGTTTTTCTGACTCAGCTGTTTTACAGGAAAGAATAAAGGGGCATTTTGGCCATGCCTATCGCATTTTAATACCGCACTGCGCATCCCTTGCAGTTGTCCAAGGTGCTGTGATGTTTGGACAGAAACCTAACACTTTCGAGTCCAGAATAATGGCTACCACCTATGGCATTCGTGTACATAAGCTCTTCCTCGACGGGTTACATCCTGAATCGAAAAAGGAAATAATAGCTGGAATCCCACGCTGTAAAGATGTGTTTTTTAAGTTTGTTAAAGTCGATGAAGTCGTTAAAGTTGGAGAAAAACGTCAATTCACTGGTTTTGCACCCTTGACAGGCGAAGAGAAACAAGTGAAGCTCGATTTCTATCAATCAGAATGTCCAGATGTGGAGTTTGTTACAGATCCTGAGGTGCGCAAGGCCCCTGGTCGTGGATTAGTGATTGAAACACCAGAGGCATGGAAAACGAAAGATATTGAGATCCATTTGCTCTTTGGTGGAACTGAGATAAAGGTCACGGCTGTTAATCGTACTAGCAACCGACAATCCACGGTTCATCTAGACTTTCTGGCCAGCAGTTAGTAGATTTAGGCATTTTTCAATTGTTCAGCATTAGTAAACAATTGCAGAAATTTGTGTCAGAGAATGACTTTAGAAATTGATGTATGGGTTTACCGGTGGCAACACCGGTCCCTCCAAACTACCTGTAAATTTGTCATTTTACCAAAACAAATATTTTTTCCATTAACCGATGAATTTTTGTGATACGTAACAAATACCATTGTTATCCATTTATATGTTGATACGAAAATTAGTACTACTTGCAATTATAAGCATCACAAAGGTTTTTAATTGATTATTTCAGTGGATATCGAGTCTTGCTACTATCTCAAAATTACTATTCCATAAAAATGATTGTGGAAGACTACATTAGTATTGAATCATTTTAGATTTTAGGCGGAAAGTTTTTGAGGTATATACGTCGGTATTTCTCTAGTAAATAATGATCTTTAATTTTTTCCCTACTCTTCTTGATATTTAAAAGCAGCTTACTAAACTTGCATATTGCAGATTGTAGGATGGGTGAGTTATCCTTCATACTCAGTTCGCGTAATTCGTCACAGCTAAATTTTTATGAAGCTGTCTACATAATGAAATTTAAGTCAACATTTCATGAAAGCCTCACAGCCTATAAGACTTAAGACTTATTCTACTAGTTTCTTCATTCTGTAAAAACGCACATCATCTGTTATATTCATTTTGTATCATCCATGGTAAAGATAGTGCTAGTTTTACATCCTATAGTGATTATGGCTCTGGAATAGAGAATCTCGCATGAACTAAAACTTAGTTTAGATTGATTTCCATTCCCGGCTCGTCTTCTTCCTTCTTTACTCGAAAATTTTAGTTGCTTCTGTACGTGTTCTTGTATTTCGTGTTCATTTTCCAGCTAACCTTTGCAGTTGGAGCACTTACGCACTTACATCAGCCCCTCACCGAGATGATTTTCGAACCGTTGGCCCAAAGTTTCCAGTCTGCCAGATTTTATGCCGGTACACCGCTCATAATCGAAAGACGAACAGTGACAGTATTAGCATCGATCACAAGTAACGCAATGGCCGGGCGGGCTATGTATATTATTTAACTGATATCTGAATGACGCAGATAACTGATGTTGCTAGTCAGATATTCAAGTATGTTTTATGAAATCCCACCGGACACACTAAAGTGGAAAATTATCCTTGAAAAGAATAGCAATAACGGTTAAGAGGAGGAGTAAGTTGAAAAGTAAAAACTTTCTGCTTACAAGGAGTAAAAACTGGAACTAAAACAAAACCGGAAAGAAAAAGTCATTGACTCACCATTATCGATGAAAGTCCCTCCTTATCAACACTTACATGCGGGTTGTTGTGGCTGATGCGAATTAAATAATATTCATGATCCTATACTCAGCACGAAAGAATATATAACTCATTTTCTCTTAGCTCGGATGTCATTCCAAGAATTCGCGGAAACTTAAGACAACTTAACCTTTCCTACATCCACCAATAGGAAATTGATTTTAGGCATCGTAAACTCAGCTGTTTTCCGAGAAAATACACACTATCACAGGGAGAATGGAGTATATTACTTCCTCTTAGCTTAAGTGCTTTCCCAAGAATTCGTGGGAGTTACGTCGACTTGACCTTTTTCCTGCACCCACCAATAGGCAATTGGTCTTTGGCATCGATAACTCGGCCGTTTTCCGAGAAAAAGCACGAAGTTGTGCATTGTTTCTTCTCAAGAAAATTTTGATGACATTTAGCTTCGATACTGAGGAGAATCATTTAACAGATAACTTGAGAGGGTATCCTTTTACCCAGGTGGTTAGCCACAAAAATGGCCTACAAAGGTAAGAACGCTGGTACTCAGACTCAATGGCAATATACCTGAAATCAAATTCTTCACTGTTTCGCCGAGGTTTCACGGAAAGCCAGAAAGTCCAATCTTAAATCAAGTAGATAGAGTGCCATCGTGGATAATGATCTCAAATGAGAATGGAGGCCGGTATCTGTTGGACTCGCGAGGTCCTGGCCGATTTCAACAAGTATCCTCGATCTCTTTCATAATAACCTATTTTTAAACTTTTCATTTGTCTGTTCATTTTCACTTCCAAGAATTATTTTACTTGCTGAATGGCTTTCACTAGTTTATTTTTCATCATTATTTCGCTTTAAAAAAGATTATTTCAAGAAAGCCTCTGACGAGTTAGCCCTTTCGGTCTGCATCGAGTGCACCCAGCAGCTTCCATGAAAACGCCAGAGAACACCAAAAATTTGATGCTAATCGTTGAAAAGACCCTTTTACAGTTTTCCATCGCATTCATGAAATTCATTCATTCATTTGACGTTGATATTGAACAAAGTTAGCCGTTAGTTCGCACTTTCTACGCCATTTCTACAAATTTCAGGCATTTGAAAAACTCTCGACAAACGATCTGGAGTTACAGACAGAACTTTGTACCACAGTTCCTTCCTAAAAACCTTTGTATACTTGACCTGTTCTTTTTATGTAATTTTGCATTATTGAGAATTATGAGTATCAAACGAATATTTTGAGCTTTTAACGACTCAACATCAGTTTTTATTGGAAGGCAATAAAATGTTCTGTCTCGTTTTTCTCGGTTTGAACTGTAAGTTACGGAACCTCGTTTCCCGTCCGATTTATGGCCCATGCGCCAAGCACACGGGTCATAAAACTCGGTCCGTCAAAAAAAAAATTGTCGTTTTAATCTCTTACAGCACTGGAAGGCTCACTCCTTTAAACTTCAAAGCGTTCGTATCTGACAGTCATTGCCATTGATTTCAGAACAACCGACGGTGGATTTGCTTTTCCATTCATCAATGATGAAGGAGAGGACGTCATCTTCATGAACAGAGACTGGGTGATTGAACAAGGCGCTCAAACAAGCAAAACCCCAACATGCCTGCTACTCAAATCAGATGTGTCATTTGACTTATTTGGTTATGAAGCGATGGAAAAGTACAGCAATCTTCAAGATGAAAGAGAAGAGAAAGATCATCTCTTTTTCAAACATTTTAAAATGACTCTTCAAAATGAGGAGGTAATAATGAGCCCCACTGATTACCTTCAAAGATAAATTATTAAAGACATAAACCGCACTTCCTATTGGTTTAAGGCGTGATTACCCGCGCAAGATGTTGGGAAAACACGAGGAAAGTTTGTGAATCGCGAGTTGGATGCCAGTCTATTTCCATTGAAACATTTTGATAGACTTTAATATTCTATGGGTTAGCCGGTGCAATAAACGGTTTTTGACAAACCAGGGTGCCTGTACGTAGTATCTCAGTGATACTTTTCACGTTCTAGAACGGAAAAGAGAGCACACAAAAGCCCGAAAGGAGTTGCTTGAAAGAATTTTCTTTTTCTTTTTTTCTTTTTTTCTTTTTTTCTTTTTTTAATTTAGTATTGAACAAAGTATTGAACATGTCGTTTGATCTCGGTGATTTCCACAAAGACGTTTACAAGATGCTTACTTAATCCCAGCGTAAGAAGCGCTGGCTCGACCTTAGCCCTGATAGACTATACGTCCACCATAGCTGTCAGGTTCAACCGTACACTTGCTGATCTTGAAGGACTTTGTCATGGCGAAAGCATGGGTATAAAATTTCAATTCCGTCATCTTTAATCGTATCATACGCATTTATCTTCGTCATCCTAAAATATTTGGTTCATCTGAAGTTTCTTAGAATCGCTTCTTTGCCAAGGTGATTGCAAAAAAATATGGCGACATATTTTCCTTTAAACACTGGGTTCATTCTCTTCTAGAGTCTTGACAGCAGTCAGCAGACAGGAGATGATCATTTCAGTCCAGACGATGTCCAATGGGTTCTAACTGTTCCGGCAATATGGACTCTAAGTGCAGTATGTAACTCAAGTTAACACGCTAAGAACGTAGCAGTTAACGTATAACATCATAGTTAACTAGAATTTTTTTTAACTTACAGATTAAGGACACGAGTAGATAAAATGCAAAGATTCCATTAATTGACTGCTACATTATATCGTCATCCTCTATGGTAGTTAGGGAAAGAGTTTTTTTTAGGACTAAAATACTATCTACACTGCTCTGCCCACTGCCCATAAGACAATTTTCACAAAGACCGCATGAGCTTAATTCAACCCTGAATAAGCTAAATACCTGGTCCTAGACATCATTCAGGTAAACATATTTATTTACATCATCATTGCGCATTACATATCGACATTCCTATCCTCGAAATGTGTAGTAGGTTGAAAATTCGAATTACATATTCTGCTGCACAAACTGTGATCACCGCATGGGCAAAAAGGCTTGTAGATTCTTTTAATACTCTACAAGGACTTGAGAGTCCTATCCAAACTCTACTACTGTTTTTCGGTTTATTGACCCTCGCCAGCCAACCTGCCAGAACACCTTCGAAAAGTCCAAATCGATCGCCGCAAATTTTGTCCATAGAATATTTAACAATTACTCGCCTCAGGCTCGGTAAATATCATGATAAATAATTTCCGAGACAACGTCGAGAGTATTATTCAACAATATTCATTCAGCCTGAGGCGAATAATTGCTTTGGTATAACTGCTCAGGAGCTTTCGAATTCTGCGGTAAATTCGTTTTGATGTTGAAACCATTCTGTTACAATTGTTTTGGTTACTCGTATCAAGATAAGCAGCCAGTTTACACTAGAATTTAACAGGTTCATTTAATTAAAAAAGTTCTTATATTTCTTTTGAAAAGTGTTACGCCAAACTTAGTAGTATCTTTTGTGGTCTTTAGAGTTGTATTTTCTTTCATCACGTGTATCATTTTCTGCGACACACTAATAAAACGCGAGGGAGCCTTTAAAAATTTTGCACCCTACTTTAATCACCTCACGCGAGTGATTCTAGCAAGAAATGACGCAATACTCGACCAGTCTGAGCTCGTGCATCTCTATAATCACCGGAGCAATTATACTAAACTCACATATATAAAAAGCATGACTGACGTATTTGATTAAAGAAGGTCTCAGATCAATGAGAGGAGAGACTTTTATCAACTCAAAGTAAGGACCATTCTTTAAAAATTAATTTCAGAGGTGATTATTGAAAGCTTGGTAGTAAATAAGTAATCTCTTAGGCTATGTTTTTTTAATAATTGATGTTAGCATGCTAACCATTATCATCATTTTTATTAGTGATCGTATTATTGCTGCTATTATCATTACTATTACTATTTTTACCATCATTATTATTATCATCCTGGTTGGAACCAACCCCTTTTTTAAGTTCAACTCTCGTTTCAAGGGGTAAAAATCCTTACAGTAAACATACTAGGAATCACTAAGAAAGTTATTGGTTGTCCCGTGAAGTCAATGATACATCTACAATGTAGAGTAATCGCAAAAAGATTAACCATGACAGGATATAAAGTAAGTATATATCAGCTGACTTTCATTTTTTTTATCTCAATGGGGACATTAGATGTCACAGTGCACAAAATACAAGATGATGGTAACATTAAAGAGGTCCACAGGGCGACCTTATGGTGGAATGTACATCAACCAGCAGTTTGAAAATCTTTTGGAAGAGTTATTTGGTTCAAAAAGTTCACAAAGCAACATCCATCTGATTGGCTGTCGTTAATGAACGAGTTTGAAGGAAAGGAACGCGGGAAGCGCATTTTAGACGACAGTTTGAGGACAAATGTCAGTTTACTAAGGAGCTTGGTATCCGTGGTAAATGAAACTCAAAGTTCGGTGATGGACAGCTGTGGAACAAACAACTTTGATGAAAAAAACCGCAACTATCAAAGGTGCAAAGCATGCTCCTTGTTGGCGGCTTTGCTTATTCTGCTTTCTTACAACAAGAATTAAAAACGGAGTTCGCAATAAGGCTAAGGATACTTGTTCCTCATTATAAAACCATTGCAGTTGTTCAAGGAGCTGTAATCTTTGGAAAAAAACCTACGAAAATATCCGAAAGAGTCGTCTCCACAACTTTTGGCTCCGATCGTTCGATAGATTTTATTGAAGGAGTTCATCCTGAAGAAAAGAAATTTATTACAAATGGGATTGAAAAGTGCGGTCAAGTATTTAAATGTTTTGTAAGGGAAAACAGCGTAGTAAAGCTCGGAGAGCGAATAACAAAAACCTCTCACCCTGAGCGAACTAGCGCAACAAGCCTGAAATTTGGATTCTACGTCACAAGCAATCCCAAATAACAGTTTGTTACTGACCCCGAGATAACAAAGATTGGAAGTGTCAAAAGTCAGTCCCCAGATACATGAAGAGGTAAAGATAGAAAACTTGAAGTCAGTATATATTTCGGAGGAACTGAATAACTGCCACTGCCTCTGATATTTCAAGTACAAATAGCGCCCAAACCACCTTTGGACTTTTTCTTTCGATCATTAATGAATTTTTTTCTAAACGGATCTAAAACAATAATCAGACCATGATCATAACCTAAGCATTTATTTCCAAAAACAAGTTCCATAGACGTGTAATTACTCAATATTTAAACACTTGCTCAAGAACAATTGCAAGGAAAGCTTTTGCCTTTAAGATGGATGTTAAGTATGGATGCTAAACTAGGGACAATCTTTACAACAGTTTTCTCTATTTCTTTAGTTTGACCACCCAAACTCTAAAACAAGCTTTAACTACTCAATACAGAAGCAATTTAGTTTCTAAGCAAATGCTCTCATTAAACATCAATAAGGAAAAATGTCGATGTAAAGACGTTTTAATGTTTTGACTTATAGACGAAATAAAATAGTGCTTGTATAAACAAACAGAATACTCATTGTTAATCGCCTGAATTCTATTCCATCTGTTATCGTATATTTTTCAGAGGTCCTTCTTTCTCTAACAACGTCACAGGTAACACTAAATAAAAGAGGTCGTTTCATGTCAGAAAACCCACTTATTTCGATCATGCATCGACCTGATTCATGCCTCTCATTTACATTTGGAGCGTGGCACAAATAAAAGGTATTTCACAAGATTTTGAACATTAAAGCAATTTCCAAACTACACATAACCTTTTGCTTTAGTTGTTGGGCGTAGAAATTCAAAAGATGCTTACTCGGTATTCGCTTTTATCTTACACAAGACTTCTCCTTTTCGAATACATCTTCCTTCCCCATCAAACAGTCCCGGCCAAAGATAACATGCTATCTCCTCTTCCTGATGTTGGTCAGGGATTCCTTTCGCCAACGTACGTACCTCAGGACTCATATAACAACCCATCTTCTTATGGCATTGTTGTAGATACAAGGATTGATACTCTAACCTAAGTGGTGGTGTCTGGGTAACCATTCTCCAAGTCAGCCGGATACTTGCTCTTATGTACTCCTGGAATAGTGGTTTATGAAGGTGACTCGCTGCGTGTGAAAGTCGGCTGTTTCTCAACAATTTTTCCTCTTCCTGCCACCTGTTCCACTTCTTCTCAACAACTCGAATGACATCCTAAAAGATTTTTGAAGATTATTTGAAAAGTTAGGCGTACGCGTTCGCAAACTGCAAAATAATCGCTCATGAAAGAAATGATACGTGTGGTCAAAAATTAAGAAAGCCGACAACGCTGACATCAGTAAAAGCTCTAATGATGTATATATAATGATGTATATATAAAAATTACGCGCTTCTGATTGGCTTTAAGCGAGTGCAATTTTCATGTCACACGAGTGCAAAGTTGTAACACGAGTTCAAATTACAAATAGCGCGCGCGCTGTCAAAAAATCCTCTGTCTTGACTTTCTAAGATGCTTTTTCCATGCAAATTATTTACACAAAACTACACTCGAAATCATGTTATTACCGATACTAATATCGTGAACAATTTTCCTTCAGACCTGACATCGACATTCATCCTTCCTCCCCTTTTCCCATGGAGAATGATGCACAAGACAAAATGGAGAGGAGAAAAGGCAGGAAAAGTACGATATATTGGCTTGGATTGAAAATAAGATTACGACTGTGAGCTTGTCTCGTACCTAAGTACTGTTTTTAATCGGAAGATAATGATAAAAAAAAGAAAAGTGCCTTTAACATGTTCGAAAAAAAAAATCAAGTAATCTTCAAATCATTGTGAAGTCGATATAGTGATTAACTCTGAGTTACTTAGCCTTTTCTTTAATTTATTTATTTCCCGTGTGCGTTTGATAAAAAAAAATGAACTACAACTCGATTTCTTCATGACGCCTTTGAAAAGTTGTTATCAGAAAAAAAAAAAATCAGATACGATTGTTACTGATGTTCTCATACGAAACCAACCAGCAGCATAACAATGCGCACGAATCGTTAGAAATCTGAATAAAGATTAAGTCACCGTCAATAGAAAAGAGTGCCCTCCGGAAAAAGCCTTTGCGTTACCACGAACATCCCAACAAACTGGATTGTATCACTCAGCAGATTATAAGCTTTTCGATATTCCGATTGGTTCCCGAGAAAATCTATTTTAAAGTTGGACAAAACAAAATTGCGTTGTCACGCGCCGGGAATTCACAGGAAAAAGATATCTCAAATTCCATTAAAGCCTCACATAATTGTGTGCATTAATATCTGACAAATATCCTGGCTACGTTTCATCAAAATCCGACAAAAATACATACCCTATTAAATCGTTCAGGTTTAGGTAACTAGCGTAAAAACAAACCTCGGATTTTCGGCCCCCAAAGAAATTCCCAGTTTTAGCACCTCATTTAAGCGCGTGTCAATGCGGTCATGCCGCCAACCAATAAAAGGCAATATGGAACTCCCTTGTCGAGTGCCGTGAGAAAGAGGCTATTTAAATTCGCGGGAAAACGTATGGGTTAAACGAAGTTCAAAAAATTCATCAAGGAAAGCAATTCGTAAGGTCAGACCCTTTTTGCTTCATCAAACTGTCCTGCCGTCGATTTCTATGGCTCGGGCCTTCTGTTAGATTTGCTACAAAGTGACATCTCTTTTTGACCATTTCATGAAGACTCTTATTCTTCAATTTTTTGGGAAATGTGACAAGTTCACTTCTTTTGTACGTTTCATTGCGTGATGTAAACGAAACATGCAAATCGAGATCCACGACACAGTTCATCCCACCCCGAAGGTTTACAATGTAACCATGAAACCTTCAAAAATTATATGAACAAATGATGTTTACAATCAAGATACGTACTGAGAGGCTGAGTATGCAGGACAACATACCTCCACTAAACAATCAAGGTTGCAATTGGGCGCCGTTTCTTTCAAGATCATCATTAGGGCATCAACAGCTTCTACTGGATACTGTGATTCTTGACGCCCTAAGCAGACTGGATAGGTTATCGATGTTTCAGAGACGCCCGTCTGTTGGTTAAGACAAAAGACTTGAATACTACACGTATTACAAAAAGAATATTTGAATGTATTAGCCATAATGGATAGATGAATAGATTAGATAGAAAAGCTAATTTAACCACGATAACCGTGATCAAAAACTATAATATTTTCCACGTTTGTTCTTCCACAAACCGTGAACAACAAAAATTCGATCAAACTTCCAGAGCATTTGCGAGTTTATATTTTTATATGAAGATCTCTAATAGATAGTTACAATTTTTTTAGTCACGTGCTTTAAAAACAGCAGAAAGTTCAATATGTAAGTTCGTTGTCAATAGCTTAATGGCGCAGCCAGATAAGGAACTTTACCGTAAATTTGGTCAAGGCCGGTTGCTTTGTTGACATCTCGGTGACAGTTTGACAGTACAGTAAAGAAATAAAGACCCTAAACGGTTTAATTTCAGTTCATTAAAACGAGGACGGCTCGTGTTCCATTCCTCTTATAAATTTATGGATGATCTGGAAAGGTCTGTAGAAACACCTGGACCAATTTAGGTAAAACAATTATCGAACCCATCGGCAATGTCTTTGGTATTTTTAACGCTAGCATTTCTAAAAACTGGATTTCTAGATCCAAACGTCTTGTATAATTCATGCAGCTTCGAATGTAAGTGCAAACACCACCACCACCTCGATTTCTATCAAGGCTAATCATATTGTAACCCTGAAAGTGTAAATTAGATTGTACAGCCTAATTTAGGGTCAGAAGTTCAAAAGTCTGTTCATTCATGAAAGCTAGTTCGTTAATGGACCGATAAAGGCTTACGATATTATGGGAACAGGTTTTAAAACCCTCGGCATATATATCTATGGAGGTGCTAAAAAGCCGTTTCTATTAGATAGATACGGCTGAAGAAGAAGTAACAAAATCCGAAATTTTAATCTAGCGATCCGAATGAATTTAAATTTAATTTCCTAAATTACTCACCACGTTATAGAAAACTTGCCAGCCTTAATAAAAGCCTATACCTTGTTGATGCAGCTGGAATCTGAGTTTCCATTTGAAAGGCAAGTCTTCCATTTAAATTACAGTAGGAACGAACCGATTTATTTTCACTTAACGATCCAAATCATATTTCCTTACTATAAAGCTTGACGCCCCTTCTTTCGTCAAGAGAGTTTCGTGTTCATCACGACGCTTTATCTAAACATCTACAATTGATCTGCACGTAAGGGGGGGGGGGAGGGGGTGGATGATATAGTTTATATACAATGTCTGCGTCCTTTACCCAATATCGTAAGGAAAAAAGACAAGTGTCAAATCTTTACAACAGTTTTGTTTATATTAATCTTAATCACCGCTTTTCATCTATCCTCGCCTGAGATAAACTGCTATAGGGGTTGATTTTTTGTCTTACCCTTTTACAGTCTGTAATCAATTTGATCTCGTCTGGGGTTAATTGAATAAAACCTCTCGTTACTTCTTTCCCCAACTCAAACATTGCTCTTCTCGCCTCTTCCATTTTTTCGTAGGCAGCCTTGAAAAAAAAAAGAAACAGAACAAAACAATACAAAAATTAAACACTTGTGAAAATGGCAATTACTGTACTATAGCGTGATGAAATCCTAGTAATACATTTATCGCCGTAAACCACGACAAAATCTACACATTCCACCGCCACCTAAACGAGCAGAGCACAGACAAACAGTAAACAGACAAGTCGAAGAAAACCAACACGTATCACCGTACACCAGACAAGTCATCTTACAACCCGACATCACACAAAGTCGTTACTATCATGCACCCAGGGCTCTAAAAAGTGCGCCTGGTTTGCAACTCGACAGACAGCCTATCCAAAGAAAACAAAAACTTTGATTGTGTTTTTCCGAAAAAGAGCAACAATTGGATCCGGCGAAACACTTAGCAACGACAACTCCTACGACCACAATGACTAGACCGTACATGGAGGGCATGTCTGAAACCATCTCGCGCATGCTGTAACCGTTCAATATCCAGCTCGCCCACAAAACGATCGTTATTACACTACGTAAGTTACAAAAGACAGGGTTGGTTTATAACAAACTTCAATACAAGACAGACTGAGCACGAACAAGCGACGAGAAATGGTAAAGATAAAAATCACAACGCTTAAATTCATCGAGTAACGAACCCCGCTATTGACTGTGACTCTGCCAAATGCTTAACCTACAGCTCTAACTATTCTCAACGACTGACTGTGTAAAGCTAGTTCACTAATTTGGAGCAGACTACCCTCGACAGAAGTCAACAACTACCAGCACCAATAAATTGACTTATTCAAGACATTTGCTCCGCCACGGAACCGAAAAGAATGACTTTGCAGTCCTAACAATTACGACCGACTTATCGAGGCTAAACTGACTGAACATTATGCAAGGACTGGAACTATAACAGTCGACTGACAGCAACTCTTCACTTGACTCTGATGGTGGCCATCCACTCAGATTGTCGACTCGAAAAAAGCACAACTAAAGTATGTTTTTTTATAGGAAGCCGATGCCCACCGTCTCATTCAAAAGGTTATCTCCCAATTTTGAAACGACTTTGGAACTAATTATTGATACCGTGAACGAGGTATCATGGGTGTTTGCTTATTCTTAATATCACGATATACCTCAAAAATAAGACAAAGAAGTCTGGGGCAATAGATGTCGATCTCTATCTGCTTTTCAAACGAGTACGATTTCTCCATTTTTTCGAGTGTATCCATTCTCGTTTCGTCGAAGAAAGTAGCGAAATCCTCTTCCGCCTTTGACTGTCTGTTCTTACTAAGCGTATCCTCCACTTTTGACTGATTTTGCTTTACTCTTCTCTCACTGAGAGCGGCAACTCTGCAAGGTAATTAGAGACCATTCAGTGCTAAGATGATAGACACATCGTCATCGTCAAACAAAAGTTGACAGAAAAAATGATTAGGGAAATTTTTTGAAAATAGCTTCTGAGGATTTTTTTTTAAATGCAGTTAGTCACTTTCAGAGGTTGAAGTCACGTTTGTATATTTAATCCTAGGCGAATTGTAGATGCTTCATGCAACACCGTTTCGATAAAATAACAAAACGCATATGTACATCATACAAAGGTTCTATACATCTAACCTGATTTAATTATATAAAGTACACCTCATTTAATGTAAATATCCTCGACTTGAGATATCTTGGGATTTTCGCATTTAACTTGTATGTGCAACCCAATGAAGGCCGAAAATCGAAACGTCACGAGTTAAACTCTGGAAACAGCAGCAAGCAGTTTATAGTCATTTCACACTTTCTGATCATGTACAATCGTATGTGTGTGTGTCTTTGTACATTACTACTTCAAGGACGAGGATTTTTTAACGCAAGGCAGCGATCTTTAGACTTTTTCTTTTCTGTGCAGGTAGAGGAAAACGTTGAACTTTGCTCTCGGACCTTCGTCAATCCGCAGCTTGTGGTTTGACAAATGTTTTTCTTTTCAGTTTATCTCATGTATCGTTCACAGAGTACACTATGTTGCGTAATCAAGAACACTCATCACTATTGGAATTTTACTAGTATGATTAAATCTATTTAAAGGGGGGGTGGGGAAAATAGATGACCCATATTCCGAAAGCATTGTTGAGTAAACCAGAGGGATCCAATCCTTAGTATCTTTTGCATTAATGGAGGTAAGCTTGTTGCCGGTAATCGTATATTCTCATGGGGTATATAAGAGCCTTTACATACTTCTGTGCTGGAACCTGTTTCCTTCACCCAAAGGCTAGTTTACGAGGTGAAGGACGATCAATAAGGAAGAAAATTCGTAAGCTTATCTGTTGTGAGCCGTATGGATGGACAACTCATTTAAGTCATGAAATAAGACGCACCTCATTTTCAGTCGCTCAATCTCTCTGTCCTTACTATTGTAAAATTCTTCGAGCTGATTAAGCCTACACATTTTAAAAAAGAAAACATTGATAAAGCATACTGTTTAACGATACATGAACATGAAGATTTAAAAGGCTTTTCTTTGATCGATGTAAACAAAGTATCACCGACACCCTATACGATATCATTTTGGGGCAAAAAAAAAACTAAACTAATATATCATTGTTATTCTGCAGTAGTGTTCAAAACAGCGTTATAGAGCAGTTTAATAGTCACTCTAAGTACAAACAAGATGAAAAGTATTCGGTGAGCTCACTTTTCTCCCCTCTCCCCATTTTCTATCTCTATTACTTGTAAGTTCATCTCAAGTTCAACTATTCTGGTGGATCAGCAAACGAAATAATTACCATCTTATTAACGAGTCAGATTTCCAACCTTTAGGAACTGAACAAACAACGGAAACAACCCAATTTGAAAAAAATATATATTCCATTTACTTCATTGTTGAACTGCTATAGCTCTGTTTCCTCTGGTAAACTGCGCCCTCGGGTGCAGTTAAGGGACTGGCCTTTTAGCTGTATATCCAACAAAACTCACGGGTAGTTTCACAGACACTTGAAGGAAGGTACCCCTCGCCTTGAAGCCAGCCTGGGCGAGCATCCAGGTGCAGCCCGGGGACTGGCCTAATTTTGGGTGGTGCTTCCAAATATTAGGAGTGGTTAGGGTTTGAACACCTACGTTAATGAGGGTTTGTTTTCAATTTTCTCATAGCTTATTTTTGTCACGTGCTCTTTTGACCGATGTCCCTGTAGCTGTAGGGAAGTCTGCTGAAGACCTCGTGCCTAGGGGTATGTTTCGGAAAATTCACCTGGATATTTGTTTTATAATTAGGCACACATTACTTTTGACGCCAAAAAATTTTATTTTGGCAAAGATGACTTTAAAGGTTCCAATTATCTTTTTTTATATAAGTCTAAGCTGTTCTTATTGCAAATTTGGTTCTTACCGATAAATCGACGTTATTATATACATACCGAGATTTACGCGCCAAAAAGCATTTAGATGAAAATAGTCTCTTCGCGCTAGAGAAGCCAGCTGATTGGTCATACAAACCTTTCGACGCTCTGATTGGCTATATCATTATTTTCACTAGTGAACAAAACCGTGTCGCTCGTTCGCAACTCCTCTTGACTGACAAAAAGCACTCTTCTAAGCTTAAGCGCATTTTTCTTCAAAAAGATGGCTTCAAATCAAACTAACCATTTTCAGAGCTTAGATTCATCAGTAGAAGAGTTCATAGACGGACAGGAAAATGAAAACGCCAAGAAAAAGACCAAACACGATGTTGCTCTGTTCCATGAATTTCTTGTTTTCAATGGCGAGGCGATTCAGGCATGCGGGTTCTGATAAGCAACAAAAAATGAGGTCTCGGGTTTTCACTTCTGTATTTCAAGTTTTGAGCTTCCGTAGGGTTATTTCGTCATATTTTTAGGATGTCTTATTTTATTCTAACTATTTCTGCCTTTTGACGGCATTTTTGCTTGATAATTTAAATGTAAAGTATTTTACAAGGAAGCCATTTCAGTGCAACTCTCGAACTATGCGGCGGCTTGACCGCGCGTTGTTTTCCTTTGAAATAAAATAAAGATATGTTTATCTTTGAGTTCTGTTCGCTTATGAATCTTGGTATGTATATAATAAATAAGTTATTTCACGATTGGTTCGCTTGTACGATTTTAACTCACTCGCTGTGAATAAAAATCGTACGTGCTCACCAACCGTGTAATAACCTATAATTATCCCTCAATGCGAAAGGTTTGTTGAGCATACCGGGGAAAAATGGTCTAATATTAATCTATTTGCATAATTTCTTTGTTATCCTTTTAAGAGAGAAGATACAAGAACTGGTTTTCAAATAATACCTCTTTGCTTGCTGTTCAAGTTTCATTTCCTTTTCCGCGATCTTTACGAGGAGATCTTCGTTTCCACTGGGGATGGGAAGCCACCAGGCGATAAACCTATCATATAACCACCTATACAACAATAAATTGCAATTTAATAAGAAAAGGAACCTGAGATGAAAATTTTCCCTCTTTTTTCTGTCGGGCCGAAGAATCAATCAAGAGGCAAGAAACCTTTCCCTTCTTTTGCACTCATCAATCTCACGGTCATATCGATAGACGAGGAAGTAATCTATAATAATCAAGCTGTAGAACACATTTAGTCATATCAGGCCCTGGAGTTATAAAATAGTAAATTTCATGTAGCAGATAGATGTAAGGAAGTTCACAGATAGAAATCGTGTTGAGTGTCTTGAAAAAAGGGAACGTACGTCTGCTATGATGAGAGCGTTCGTTTGAAACTTAATTCAAAGAGCTTTTAGCTATTGTTACATAAGAAGGGAATTTTTTTTTTATAAAGTCGTGTCAGAGAAAAATGAGAAGTAAACATCCCACGCTGCCAACATTTTTGTATTAAAACATGAGCACGAGTAGATTGTGAGTACACAACCTTTAAAAAAGAACGAAAAACTCACCATTTGATGAGAAATTGTAGCACAGGAAATAGGCAGGAAAGGTTCATGTTTTTTTTTTGTTTTCTTTTCTTTTTGTTTTTTCGCGAAGTGCTTGCTGGGAGTTTATACACAGCAAAAGAGGAAAAATAAAAAATTGGAACGGACTAATAGATTTATGCTGACTTGCTGAGGATTGACCTCAACAGGTTAAGTTTCAGCATTCATTTCCCACTGAGCATTGCTTTTCGGTTTAATATCCGCCACTTAACCTGCTGTACAATATATCTTCTAAGGTTACGTGTTCTAAGAAGAATCAGTTTAAACGAAATTTCGCTTTTAGAGCAACTTTAAAGTTATTATTTTTCATTGTATTCGACCCTTTTTGATCATTAAAAGAACATTTTTATTCTATTTTGATGATCATTAGAGTAAATTACATTCAGTGAAAAAATATAAGGAAAAGCCACGAACAGAGTTTTGAACATCCTATGTCTGGAGAATTGAAAAGATTGCCGATGCGGTAAAATGAGCATAAATAAACCAGATTAAAGAAGATTGCATAACGCCTTTTAGCCTGTTACAAAATGTTTGGCGCTAGAGTTATTGTAAAAATTCGAAGATGGTATACATCACTAGATGTAGTTATGTCACATTTAAATCATTTATTTCATGATGCAACATTTAAATGAACAGAGTACTCTGTGATAAATAAAACCTTAGACATCTCCGCCTCAAAAACAATACTGTCCAGCTGAGTTTAAGGGGAACAAAGAGAGGATTTAACATAAATATTTTTTGTTGTCTTGCTGTATCTGCACACTAACAGTCCTTACTTAACGACCAAAGTTTCTTTGAGTTAGAATTAATCTAGAAGACATCAACCGCGGTCTATCGCTAAAGGAAACAAACTAAAAAAAAGGTATTCAGTGTTTTGACACTACGTATGTATTGTAATACGAGAGGTTACCCGATGAGGCTCGATGTTTTGGAACTTCCAGTGTTCCCCGAGGCCCTGATCTGCCCCTGTTGATCTTCGATGGTTATCTCCGATGTTTTGATTCTGTAAAAAGGGATGAGAACAATAAATGCTTTCCTCCATGAAAAACTATGGGTAAAAAAACAAAATTCATTTTGGACTTCTATTTTCTCCATTCATGTTAAACGGAACACAAGAAAGTTGGACAGAATGAAAAAGGGAAAAGAAAAATGAACCACGCATGGATTTTTAAATGTAATTAGTGTAATGTTCAAAAACATGTCTCGAAAGTTCTTCTGTCATCCTCAGTTCTGAGTAATACAAAGTACAAAGTTGAATTTAAAGTGTTGCTATAATAGTAGAATAATGTATGCATTTACAAGGAAAGTTTTAAATTACTATGGTAAAGTTGGTGATTAAGTGTAGGTTTCTCCCATTGAATGTGGATAGCTTCTTTGATTTTAAGTTGAAAAGTTGTGAAAGCGTGATCTAAGATGGTAAAACACTAATCAGAAAAAAGAGTGCGACATTGTGGAGAATTATACGGAAGCCGAAAAGGGAAAATCCAAAATTATTTTGCAAATCTGAAAAAATATTTAGAATCGATATCTTTTAGACAAAACGCTTTGAAAAAGTTTTTGAAATCGAGAAAACAACTTTAAATCTTGATTCAATTCACAGATCTACAAATAATGAAAATCAGAAATAGTTAACAATCCAAGAATCTCTCCAAAATCCTAAAAATTTTGCGAACCGAGAAAAATATATTGTCACGAGACACTTGCGCGAGTAGTCAGCACTTTGTCACAACACGACACATCGTGTCACTCTAGGTTGCACGAAGTCGACTTGGAGTCACTAGGCGAACGGACTAAATTGTACCAAGTTTATTGCAAAGGTAGAGAACAAAGGTAAAATATGATGTCATCAGACACATCAAGATTGATGTTTATCGTGGAGTACAAACCTCCATGAGTCCAGGTATCTATTGTGTGTAATAAAAACTATAAGAGGAAAATGGTTGACAATTTGTTATCATTACATAAACATTAACTTGAAGTCTCGTAACCCGGATAAACACTATTTTGTGATGTGTTTTCGGAGATCGATGTAAAGTTAATTACAAGGAGAGTTATTCGAATTTGTTGGAAATTTTTGGGCAGATCAAGCTTAGAAAAACTTTTAAGATTTTTCGCTCCTCTTGGAATTTGATTTAGTCATTTTCCGAGTTGTTTGCAGTGAATCGCTTTTCATAATGAGCTATGTCGTCGTTCGAGACTTAGAGATTTTAAGGGATTGAAGTCTGTATTCTAATTATGCCAGTGAAGGTGCATATCAAGTTTGTAGCGGTATCGTAGTGCCTTGTTCGGAATGTAGCCTATTTCTAGGACAAAACTGTGTATTTGGATTGGGAAAACATCACAAAAACTTCAGATAATGAAAGAAAATCGTAGAGTATCCCAAAGATTAGGGATGCAATAACTAATTCTAATCAAATGAGAGTTTTAAATCGCGCCATAATACGGCGACGTGAAAAAGATCACGTTACCTAAAATCACATGAGTTAAAAAGAGGTTTACAACATGACATGTAAACCAACATCTGTCATTTACGTACCCACCAACAAGCGCTGATTGGTTCTTTTGCATAAGATTTCAAGTTTCCCACTCTGTTGCTTAAGGGTAGCTGGGAAAACCTTTGGTTCTCCTGGCGCACCCAACGCCCCATTAAACAAAATTACCCTGAAGTAATTTACCTCGGTAAAACTCGGTCTCATCCCAGTTGCCTTGTGCCAAATTTCTACATTTTACTGCGAATTCTTTTGATGCTTTGTCTGCTTTAGTAATGGCCTTTTAATTTGATAAATTCCAACCAAAGGGTTCCAAACAACCTGGCCTACCATTTTTTGTTCTTCCGTTCGTTTCTAAAACAATATTTTGAAGGTTAAATGTTTGTTACAAGAAATAACTGTCTTGCGTATTACCGCAAACCGACATAATACAAATGATAACCGAATACAATCTTTATAAATGTAATAGTCCTGTAAAGCTGTACAAAAAAATTGGAAATGAATGAATAAAACCTCTAAAAATCTAACATGAACTGAGGTAAAAATATTTTACAGTTTCCAGTAAGGAATTATGGATCTGAATAACACCGGCAATGTGTGATTTATTTGCGAAACGCACCCGCTAATTTTGTCATAAGGGCATAACCCAAACGCTCAAAAGCAACTTTCGGGTATATTAAAAATAAAACTCTATCATGTAAGCTGTAAAATAAAATGAGAGAGTGGGAAAACATACAGTAAGTGGCCGCAATCACTGCCTTTATTTGACGTAACATGTAAGCTGCAACTGATCATTGTTACCTCTGATAGCACTAATTCTGTAGGGGAAAAGGCTACTTTCCCGCCTTTGTTTCAAGAATATGTTCTCCTGACAACTTAAAGCGACGCCAGCATTTAATTCGTAGTAGAAGGAAGCTTAAATCCTTCCCACCCCTCCCCCATAATTTGCATCCACCACGAGTCGTTGACTTGCAAATGTAAAATAGTAGAATTAACGAGTCTGTAAAACGTTACACAAAACGGTTGTAAGATTAATAACTTCATGTGAAACAAATTAAGAGCGTTTTAGGGGTAAAAGTATTCGTAGATTAAACGGAACATGTCAAATTCAAAGGTAGCAATGGGAGCATCTGTTTGTATCTGACTAACATCTAGCAGCATGAACTTTATCGATGCATCAGTCAGACCCTCGACATTGATCAGCAAACTTTTGATGAAATGAAAATTTAAGTTAAGAACATTCACGTTTTCTACCTGGCTGTCTCCGGTGTTTCTGTTTTGACGTACTTTGCCTCAAGAGTATGCTGCATTTCGATCAGGCATTGGGCCTCTCGATTGTCTCTAAGCACAGCGATTACCTGCCTTACAAATTTGCCTGAGAGTCCTCCTTTGTTGCTTGATCTCCAAACTAAGCAGGCTGATAGTGTGCCATTTCTGTTTTCACTACTAATCTTACCAGCTTATTTCGCCTCAAGAAAAAAACAATGAAAAACTGCTGTCGATTTGCACTGCTTATTTTGTTTCAATTCGCATTTCTAGGAAAGACCGGAAATAAGTCATGTGACATCATGTGATATCATAATTTTATGCCGAAGCGCTTCTGAGTAATACCAGGTAAGTTTGGTAGAAGGAAGAGGTGATTGTCGCAAAAAATAAAGGGTTTTGGGAGCTAGGTTTTAGTTGTGCTTTATTATTCTATATTCTCCAGTTTATTCGTTTATTTCGATGAATTTATATATTAGTTTGCGAAAACAGCTTTAAGTATAGTGTTGCCCTGATATCAGATTATTTCCCAAGAACAAAAGGGCTCTTTTCTTCTTGCCTTCATCAATCTTTATTCCAATGGTTAGTCTCTCGAATCGTCCTGGCCATTTCTCTCATCTCGGGTCTGCATCCCATCGAGGTGAACTTCAAACTGTGTGAAGTTTTGTAGAGAGATCGCCATAATGTTTTGATTGCGCAGGAAAAATTACTTCGGAAATCTCTTTGGAAATCGCTTCTAAAATCCCTTCAGATCCTTTTAGAACACGCTCTCTGGGTTTTATGCTTGATCCTCGTCACCAGATTTGGTGTTTATGCTCAAATAAATACTGAAACTTCTGATATCATCGCAACGATATTTAATCAACATACATATAAAATCCGACTACAGAAGACTCCTTTCTTTCTTGACCCTTGCGGTCGAATACACCACACCTATTGTATTAGGGCCTATATCTGGAGCAGATGTATTACTAAAGACTTGCATTTGTAAATGGTTTAAATTTTTCCCATTTGGTTTGACGATAAGGCACGCAATGATCAAGCAACCGAGCTATCTTTACTTAAAAAATTCATGTTTTTCATGAACACAAAAATTCTAAGCCTTCAGAATCAAAAACGTACGATTGTGTGTCAGTAACGAGCCACTTCTTTGCGAAATCTTGAATTACAACATAATGGCTCTCACTACTTATTGATTAAAGAGACTTTTCTTGCACTGTCTTTTTGTGCAAGTAGATAATGAACAAGCAGACAGAAAAATTCTGTACATGATTACTTCCGGAACAGTGCGACCGGAACCGGAAACAGTTTAAAATTTCCGACAAAAGGAATTCTAGGAAAAAGGGGAAATGAAAAATTTATGGTAAAGCACATAAGCATTTTCTTTAGGGTGAACGACGCGTACTATCCAACATAAAGATTCTTCATCATTTAAGGAACTATTAGCTTGAAAGTGGCATGAGTGGTACGTATCAAAATCCTTATTTAAGTTATAAAAGTACAGACATTTACTATTCGAGCGAAACAAATTTTATAAATCATGCAACAGAAAGCGTTACTACAGGTTAACAAGTGAACACTTCTTAGAATTACAACTGGGTCCAACTCTTCAAAGCATTCGATTATTGTAAGTTGTTCCTACTTCGTTACAAATATGTATTAATTATTGCTTACAAGAATCATCGAAAAAGACGTAAAAGATACAGGAGTTTGAAATGAGGATAGGATAAACATATTAGCCCGGAAGTTAATTACTTTCGGTTTCTGCAATCGAACGCATCGACTGTTGATGAAAGATCATACAAACTGGCCTGTTCACCTTCGAACTTGAAGAAAATATGCCATTGGATACTATGTAAAAGAACTGATACACGGACTAAGAAGCAAGTAAAATTCGTCAAGAGGGATTTTGTTATCATCAAACAAGCGCGAAACCATGATCCTCCTCTCCGACGCCAAACGTATGAGTAAATGAACTAAACAAAGAATTACAAGAGGAAGGAGTTTGCTCAGTTTGGAGAGCATTATTACCAGATTAGGGGGGAAGCCTGGAAATCTTCTCTGTTAATCAACAGATTTTCTCAAAATGAATACTATAATACGCAGTATTTTGGCCTCAAGAAAGAAAATGCATGTCTCTATTCTTCGGCATGATACAATTATTGACATTAATTTCTCTCGTAGATGTTCTTGTATCATTTTTTCGAATTATCTAAGCACCCACACCCGTCATTTTCTCTGCATAGAGGCGAGATCCAGCTGTTTTACTCTCAGCCTACCTTTCAACCTAAATAAAGCCACTTATCAATTAGGGTCATGCATGCCGTTCGTGTTTTCCAGTGTATATTATATTCGCTTTTCTTAAGCTCATCCTTGCTCTTCAGCGTCTGAAGGTTTGTTGTTTGCTACAAGTTCATCATACATAGCCGTGGTTGCTATTGATTTTGGGACCACATACAGTGGTTTTGCTTTTGCTTTCAACCACAAGAAGGGAGAAGGAGGCATTCATATGAACAGAGCCTGGGGACATGACCAGGGAACTGCTACCCTTAAAACACCTACCTCTCTGCTTCTTCACCCTGATGGTAGCTTTGATTCATTCGGATACGAAGCGGAAGAAAAGTACGCCAACTTCTTTAATGGTGAAGATCGAGATTATCTTTACTTCAAACATTTCAAAATGGCACTACACAAGTCAGAGGTACAGTTCATTCATTCGTCTTTTTTTTTCTTCCTTTTTTTTTTTTTGCCACGCCTGAAGCGAAACTTCCATAGACGGACTGTCTATCACTAACTCTAATCTTGAAATCAACTCGAAACACCTATAAAACTAATTCATAACGAATAGTCATAGGAGGAAGTAAAAGGTTAAATTACTGCTGATTGTCTCGACAAACACCGTAAAAAGAACAAGCATGGGAGTATGCGGTTGCTGAAGAGGAGCCGAGAGAAAAAATTGAAAGCAATAACTGAAAACAATAGCACTTCATTGCAAAATGGTCATAACAAACCAAGTTAACAGTGCTCTTGATTTCATCAGATCTGTAATCTTTACATAACATCTACATCTAAGTTTGATAAGAAAAAACAGATCACGAGATTTTTTAATTCATATTAAATGATAATTGCATGAAAAACTAAAAGGGTCTCTCAGGGTCCTCAAAACTAAACTAGATAGTACGCATCGTTTTGGGTTTTGTATAAGTTCTCCGCTGAAGTTAATTCGCATCAAAAGTATTAGACATAATCTTTGTAAATTTGTCTTCTCCTATTACAGACATTAGACAGAAATACAAAGCTGACAGCTCGAAATGGAAAAAAAATTGATGCTTTGGTTGTTTTTGCCCACTCATTGAGGTATCTCAAAGATCGAGCTATCGAAATCATTCGCGAGAGAACTGGAGACGAAAAGTATAATGAAAAGGACATTCGGTGGGTCATAACAGTGCCTGCCATTTGGAGACCCGCTGCCAAGCAATTCATGAGAGAAGCTGCATGTAAGGTAATTGTAGAGAAGTTAAATTTGTTTGTCCCCCCCCACGCCCTTACGATGAGTTAAGAGGTGAAAATGAAATAAGGAAAGGAAATACAGGAGGAGCTAGAATACAGGTCACTCTGATGTTGTCAGTTACTAAACATGAATGAGTTATCACAAATGTGAAAGTTTTGTTTTTTCCTCGCAAAAAGCGAGAAATTTAAGTTTGAGATTAATCAATGTTGTTTAAACGAAACGTTTTTGTCTTCAATAACTGACTTTTTTTGCTTCTACTTTGGAAGGCGGAGATGGTATCAAATAAGAACCCTGAACAGCTGCTTATTGCCTTGGAACCAGAAGCAGCCTCTATACACTGCAGAGAAATGAAGATGAGAGAATTCGCCAATGAGAAAGGAGATGCCACTGTGTCTGACGTCTTTGCTCGACCTGGGTCAAAATACCTTGTTATTGATATCGGAGGTAAGACTGAACTTTTAGAAAAATGGACCGTTTTGACCATGTCACGCTACAAAGTATCAAAACCTTTTCTTATTTTTTAATTTGGAAATAGTAATGTCTCCTCTAAATCATTTAAAAGCTTCCATGTGTTTGTGAAGACGCAAGGTTTTTTTTTAATATGAGGCAAATTTGTAATGGTAATTGAACTAAGTGGAGTGGTGGGACATCGTCGTAACTCGTTTGATACTGACCAAAGCAAATAGGCTAATAGCTTGTGATGATAACCTTTCTCAAACGGAGTCAAATAAAAACGACGCTGAAATTTCAAAAAATTTGAAAAATTCGTCGGCTAGGAACGGATCATTTTATAGTCAATAATCTAGAAGGCTGTTGAATTCGCAGGTAAGCGACAATGTTAATTATACAAGGTTTTAACTATCAAAAATAGAAACAAGCAAGCAGCCATGGACAGTTGTTTTAGCTTTAATGGGCTTCATTAGCTTCAAGCTTTATCAGCACAAATATACTAAATGTGATCGATCGAACTCGTAATGCGTTTTATGTTTGACTCGTGCAATATGAATGCAGGGGCTGAAGCTGTAAATTAATTGGTGTTACATCTGTTACTCCTTGATAAAGGCGGGACTCTTGACGTCACAGCTCATGAAATCTTAATGAATGGAAACATTAAAGAAATCTATCAGGTGACAGGAGGACCTTATGGTGGAACCAAAGTTGACGAGGAGTTCATGTCCCTACTTGAGAGGTTTTTTGGAACTTATCAGGTGAAAAGCTTCCGTGAAAACCACCCAGCAGAATGGCTGGAGATGATGAATGAATTTGAGATGAAGAAGCGAGGGCGCCGAGCTTACGAGGGTGAAACAACCAGAATTCGCCTTCCTCGTACCTTTACTGCACTGGTTTCAGAGCAAGGTGGGCCTGATCTGGCGAGACGATTTGCAAGTTCTTGTACAACTGATGATGTCCAATTCGTCAGAAATGAATACTTCTGTATAGGACCAGCGACCATGAAAAAATTGTTTGAACCGGTTCTGAAAGGAATAGTGAAGCACCTGAACAATCTTCTTAAGCATCGTGAGCTCCGTGGGCTGCAATTTTTCTTTCTTGTTGGAGGTTTCGCCGAGTCAGCGATACTTCAGGATGCAATAAAGAAAAACTTTCAGCGGAGGTAAGGTAAATTTAACGTAAACGTGTGAATGGGTTGAAGTTTGGGTCAGAAGAATCCTAAGTTAGGTCGCATTATCTGAACCAAACGCACTGAGATGTGTTTCGACGTCCGAAGATTTTCGGTACGAAGGGTCGTAGTCAAAGTATGCAGTTGCAAGTTATTCTAAGATTCATCAAATCAAAAGGGCAGTTTTGCAATCAAAAGGGATAAGAAGCATGCCTAAAGAACAATTGACCTCCCATGTAAACATCACATGTAAAATGACTGTCATCTTTGATATTTTTTCTCTAATCACAGATGCAGAATTTTAGTTCCAAGCAATGCTAGCATTGCAGTTGTTCAAGGTGCAGTTATGTTTGGCCAAACACCTGACATTGTCGACTCTAGAATAATGTCTACGACTTACGGCTTCGATACGTACCGCCGGTTTAACCCCAGTCTTCACCCAATTGACAAGCAGCGCTTTGTTGACGGTGTAGCCTACTGTAAAGATTGCTTTATGGTTCTTGTTAAAGAGAATGACATTGTGAGGACAGGTGAAAAGAAAGTCTTCGCTGATTACAGCCCATTGGAAGGAAGTCAAACAGCAGTTAGGTTCAGTTTTTTCACCTCCACCAATCCTGACGCCAAATACTCAACAGACGCTTCAGTTAGCAAGTCCATAGGGGAGGTTGTCGTCAAATCACCTGACGTTACAAAAGGAACCAGCCGAATGATTGACCTGGCGATAGAGTTTGGCGGAACTGAGATTAAAGCCACTGCAATAGACAAGAGCAGTGGGAACACTGCCACGGTGTATCTTGACTTCCTGTGCAATAAGGATTAAAAATCACCGAAAATCACCTGAGAAGATATGAAGTCCACGAGTGAATGTATGCGATAAACCTGTCTGCGTTTTAGGGACAATATTTTCGTATGTTATCATTGTATCGCGTAGAACTGATTTATCCCTAAAGTTTTTGTAAACCTCTATTTTAGTCTCCGTGTGTATGGAGTCCATCATGAACAACTCCAGCATATCGAAGCTAAACCTGACGTTATGAAACATCTTTGAACTTCGTTATATAACTGAAATACTAGACTCAGACCGGACCGGACCTACGACCTAAGACCTAGGACCGGCCCTAGGACCAGGAAAGTGTCAAGATATCCACTAATAACAAATTCTTGAATTCATGGAAAGTCCAGTTTTGACGCTTTCTTTTAACGAAGTGTAATATTAAATAATTGTATGTTGCATTTCTTTTGCCGAGTACTTTACTTGTCAACTACAAGATACCTCAACAGTCAGAACGGAAAATCCTTTTTGAAAGCCGTTTTTTCCAAAAAAATCCAATAGGAAAGCAATTTTTACTTCCTCTTGGCACCCTTTGTGCTCCTATTTCTCGCGAGCATTAAATAAATTATCACTGTCACTACATGCGACATGTATATTTGGATCAAAGATCTGCAGTCTTGATATACTTTGATACTCGCACAATTTTATGACATAGGAATAATTTCCATTCACCTTCAGTTCCTCGATACAGAACTAGAATCCTAATTTCGTGCTTTTGGCCCTTAGGAACATGATACAGAGAGACCATGGAGGCCTTCCTTTATTTTTGTATTTATTTACCAATTACTAGTTTTTTTTTTTGTATGTATGTATGTATGCATGTATGTATGTATGTATGTATGTATGTATGTATATATTTAGTTTTTTTTATATATTTGTTTCTCTTGTTTGTCCTTTGTCTGTTGGTATGATTTATTTTGAGATATATTCCTGTCTGAAATGGGGATACAATTCTTCTCCTCGGTCTCCGAGCATCTGCAACCCACAGCCTCTGTGGTAAAGAGCACTTTTGGCCGTGCGCACCTACCTTGCTGGGTTCAAACGATGGAAACGATGAGCTTGGTCAAATTATGTTTGCCATTTTCCTGTCAATCCCTTTTAGGTCGCAGTTTCAATGAACCTAAAAATTCGACTCTAATTCTAAACATCTGCGGCACTGATTGCGCGCTACAGATGGGTGTTCTATCAAAAATGTCTACACACCCTCATGTTTCTTTAATGGTTAATGCATCCCAGATAATTTTGTGTAAGCCAAAGGTCAAAAAAGATCCCGTGACCCCTGAGAGCCTTACAAGTGCTCGAGGAATCAAAGATAATAGATAAGTTTCCGGCCCTTTCTGATCTCAGATCAGTCGCTCTCAGCCTAATTGGTTACGTAGGTTTCTCTGTTTTAGTGACTTAAGTCATATTAAGGCCTGCGATATGAATTTTTCCTCTCGTACGTTTCTATTTTCTTAGAATCTTCCGGGACGGACTAATTCCGAGTTGGGACGTGCATCATTATCGCAAGGCTTGTCTTGTCAAGGCTTTGGAGGACTACATATCAGTTTCAAAACTGACCTCTATGAAGATTTACCATTGTTTAGAGCCCTTGCTACTACTCGCTCCTAACAGGAAGTACGGAGAGGGGGATTAGTTACTCAAGAGCCAGAAGAATTATAAATAATGCTTTCAGAGAACTCACAAACGCTTCTAAAATTATTATCCATAGCCTTAGAGCTAAAAGAGACAGCTTTGCAGCTAATGCTGGAGTTCGGCTTTCTAAGTGACACGGTCGTTGGGCCAGCGAAAACGCTGAGGATTGCTATGACAAAGACAATTGCGGTGGGTTGTTTTTGTCCTGTGGTTACTCGTTGGTCCTCCCAGGCCTAAGTTATGTTTTTCGTAGACCACTTTTGTTATATGCGCGATTTATAGTTGCTATATTAGTTTCATTCAATTAACATGCCGTGGGGCCTCCAGTGAGCACGTGATAGCGTATATGTTATGTTTTTTCTGCTGTTGTCACGCACGGCTATGGTGGTGTCAGGGAATGTAGAAGTGAGCTGATATTCTTGTTGTGATCTGAAGATGCATTTGAATCATAATTATTTTGTTTTTATTATCAAGTATTAAAGAGGTTTTAATTTAAATTAACTTCATTCAGTTTGCTTTGAAAAAGCCAAAGATATGATACTTTTCTTAATGGAAATTAGAGAAAGCAGCAATTGGAACAAAATTTTACAAATTTCTTCCCAAAATTCCTCCCGAGATTGCACTTAGTTAACTTTGTCCGTAAACTCAGCCCTCTTTCTGCATGTAAGTTCCCCGCCAAGCCTCAGTCACAACTATTGGGCAAGAGTAAACTAGTAATCTATTAGCATTTAAGTGAGGCTGATAAATTGGATGTAAATAACTGAGCACTTTTCTGCTAAAATAAAAGTCCATTCATGTTCACATGGAGGACTAGGCTATTTCAAAAACAAAAGAAATATCGGATTTCCTGCTTCAATTATTATAACTCTTCACTCTACTAATAACCTGTAAGAAAACAGCTCCTACACTTCCTGAGCAAGATCTAGAATAATATAATCAAACCCAACGTTTTAAAGCAAATTCTTCCTGCAAGGTAAGATCACGTATTACGGTTACATTCTCCACTAAAAATTTAATTCGTTCGTCGTGTCAGAGGAGCTTTAAAACTTTACGCAAAAAAACACTCTCATTGACATTTTAAAATAATTTTGAATAAAGTACAGCGCTGCCTTTTTCCCATCCAATAAATATTTGGAGGGTAAGAAATAGAAGCCCCGTTTTTCCGCCAATCAGTGTCAAATATTTACCCTTGATACACCAATTTCAATTCAGCTTTTATATCGCCTCAGCTTCCACTTTACAAAGGACTTCTCCAGGTCGAATGACTCGTCCTCCTCCGTCTAAGAGTACAGGCCACAAATAGCATGCAATCTCATCACCGGCCGAACGAGCGGTGATTTGATTTCTCATTTGGAGGGGCCAGCTCTTTCCAATTGAAAAAGCCACTTTCGGGTCCATTTTCGAGACTTTTAGAAGGTCTAAGCCCTTATTGCAAGCGAAATGGACCAAACAAATGTAAAGAGAAACCACCTCTTACTAACCAGGTTCGAGGTCAGTTCAGTTAGTTAGGAACATGTTATTTCCCACTCAAATCTAATGAGAGCAGAAAAAACGAGAATTCTTAATTTACAGTGCGGACAACGAATACGAAGTTAGTTAAAACGATGACTTTGCACTTTCGATTTTATTCGCCGATCGCGGCGAATTTGATCTCTAGCTGACATGCTAGATATTCACTTGATATTGCCATGAGAATAAAGGTAAAGACAGACCGGCACGGACTTCCCATGTGGTGTTTGTAGTCGCGACGCACAATCGCCTTCTAAGTAAATTCTTGCTCTCACAAGCTTGCCTTAAAGGATTTTCCCTTTTTGTAAGAGATGATAGGAGGCTTTGTAAAAATTGAATGGGAACTCAAAGCAGTTACCTATATAGCTATTAGTAACATACCTCTTTCATGGACTCAAGGCTGCAAAGGTGCGCAGTTTCTTTCAAGGAAAGCATGACAGCATCTGGAACCTCAGTCGGGTACTTCAATTCCTGGCTGCATGTTGGTATCTTCAAAATGACTCTGTGTGACGATAGCTTGGACTTGATCATCTCAGGACAGAGCAAAAAAGATGAGAATTAAACTAAACATTGTGAAGTACAATCAAAAAAGTTTGTTACACTTAGTTATTTACGTTGGTTATGGTTCTTTATAACCCACCCTTTAATTTCCGTGCGATTCTTTTGGTTACTTTACGTCACGTGATGAGAGTTATTTATGAGAGTTATAAGTTGTCCCACGATTATCTCTTTCTTAAAGAGACATCGTAACTGGAAAAAAGCCAGCTCAAGAGTTTCACTTTTCCGTCTTTCTTACTTTACTTACTTAGAAGAAAACCCGACTTCGTTTTGTAGAGTCCAGTGATGTGAAAAAGATGATCTCAAATGCTGCTCTGGAAAGTACCAAAAAAGTCAACAAAATTTTGCTGTCAACGCGCGATACGAAAACTAATGTCAGGGTTATGAAATAAATAAACACCATTCTGACTTCCTGATTTGTCAGCTGATAATTCCCTTAGCTGACAGATTGTCCTCAAAATTTC